AAAAAAAAAAAAAAAAGAAAGAAAGAAAGAAAGAAAGAAAGAAAGAAAGAAAAGAAAACGAAAAAGAAAAAAGAAAAGTCTGAAGGAAGCCGTCCCTGGAATAGTCTAGCCCCTATGAATCTAAAAACTATTTCACTAGGACTCCCTTCAAGACAGAATCCTTCTCATAGAAGAAACTGCTGGGGCTAAACTAAAAATTAAACAGGATAAGGACAAGAGAGGCAAATAAAAAAGAAGGTCTAAAGTGGAGGATTGGAATAGAGTCAAAAGCATCTCGGAAAGTAAGAATTACAATTTTCAAACAGTGCATATAAACAACAGAAGAGGAAGATCTGTTAAGTTAGAAAAGCTTTCTGAACCTAACCTCATTTTAAACGTTAAGAAAAACTAATTTCACTTACAAATGAGCAGAGAAAAGTACTGAGGTCAAATCCAAGACAAAGCTATGGTGGGATTGTAGAGAGAGGGAAGACAGAGATTAATATTGCTGCTGGCAATAAAAGTACGCCAGAAAAATATGTTCAAGAAACATATCATGACTATTAACTTACCATTTTAAAACAAACAAAAAGATGTTAAGAATGATATGAGACATAAAATAACAATATAAATCTGGATTACAAAAACTAAAAAACTATTTTAAAAAGTGGAGTGAAAGGACCCAGAAAAATGAAATAAAATAATTTAAGAAATAAAAAGGAAATCAGTTATATCTGAGAGTGAATAAAAAACAGATAACACTTTTAAGAGAAATACAAGGTGAAAAAGTGAAAAAATTTGAAGATAGGTAATGAATAAAGAGACAAAAAGGATTCAACAGAAAGTGACAAATACTGATGATAAAGAAGATTTCACTTATGGATAATGAGAGTCCCTGAAGAATAAGACAAAAGCAAGGAAACAGAAAAGAAGGCTAAAAAATTCCCATTCAAAACATCTTTCCTGAAAGAAAAAAAGTGATTTTAAGCTATGTATTGGAAGATGATACTGTGGATCCGAAGAAAACAACCCAGAACAACCAACACCAAGAAAAATTCTAGTAAACTTATTAGACTTTAAAGAAAACTGAAAAAGTTATTTGGCTATCTAGAAGGAATAAAATCTTGTGACTTATAAAGGATATAAAAAAAATCACACATTCTCATCAGACTTTCTACAGCAATTCTTTGTAATAGAAGAAAATGAAGTAATATTTACGATGCCCTCCAAAATAGTGAGCCAAAGATTTTATACCTACCAAAACCACATTTCAAGTATAAAGGACATAGCTAAACTGTTATTAACATTCAGTAACTGAAGGGATATTGTTCCTATAACTCCTTCCTGATGATCTACAATAGAATATATTTCAGACAATCAAAATGATTAGAGAGATACCAACATAAAGATTGGTGATGAGAAGTAAATATACTATTACCAGTTAATTAAAAGGGAGAGTATACAGAGCATAAGGCTACCTGCTGTGGCAATATAGTTATATTATAATTATTTAAATTATTTTTTAAACTTGGGAAGAATGGGAAGAACCTACACAAAATTTTTAGAAAATTTTTCCAGTAAATAATATTGATAATAGTATAAGTACTGTCATTCTGACACCATTATGTGTATAATAGTAGATAAAACAATGAGTTATTATTAAATATTCTATCATCTTGTATCCTTAAGAATCACAATTCTTGGTATGAGAAAAGTGTATATATGTAAGTAATAGAAAAGCAAAAATAAAAAGCTTTGTAGTCTTGAACCTGAATTGGAAGCATAAAAAATTCATGAGTTTATACACACATGCACACAGATATTCATGTCCCCTCCAACAAGTTCAGCCCAGTGAAAAGACCTAGAAATAATGACCAATTAGATTGTATTCCTGAAGGACCATTTCTCTCTAAAAGGTTCTGGCCAGGCATGGTGGCTCATGCCTGTAATCTTAGCACTTTGGGAGGCTGAGGCAGGTAGATCACCTGAGGTCAGGAGTTAGAGACCAGCTTGGCCAACATGGTGAAACCCCATCTCTACTAGAATACAAAAATTAGCGGGCATGCTTATGTGTGCCTATAATCCCAGTTACTCGAGAGGCTGAGGCACGAGATGGGTTGAAGCTGGGAGGTGGAGGCTGCAGTGAGCTGAGTGCGTGCCACTGCACTTTAGCCTGGGCAACAGAGCAAAACTCCATCTCCAAAAAAGAAACTAAGCCTTGAAGACACGGCTGGTACCATGTCTGCAACAGAAAATATATAAGATGTGTATGAAACATCTTTGTATACCAAGTGTCAAAGAAGCTATCAAAGACCATTAGGATCATGGCAAAAGAAGTTAACTTTGAAAAGCTCTCACTGGTTAAGGATGAGACAATCTGAGCTTCAATCATGTTAAAAATTGCAATGGATTGAATATAACCAAATTTGGGTAAGTCCCTGCATTCATACTGATATTAAAACAAGAGTTGCTCACTTCAATGATAGGGAACCAATTCATTATCTTGCAAATTGGTGGATAAGAATCTATTATGTACTTTCTATGTGAATGCTACCACTGGGAAACAAAATAATAGATAATAAGAAATGCCTCTTTGTAAAAGTATTCCAAATAATAAAGGAAACAATGATAGAATAAGAATATCACCATTTTGTAATCCCCAATGGCAGTAAGTAATAATGGCTTCTGGCATCATAAAAGTGAGACAATAAGATATCGTGTGTCTCCTACAGTCTTGTCAAACATTAGTTTTGTCAGAAAAAATGGAACCTAGGTCTGATCTTGTCTCTAGATCCACTTGCCCATTTGTAGGAAATACAGAAGATGGAAGGCATATAGGATGTATCTTAAATAAGCAAATCTCAGGCTGTGGGAAATTCTTTGGGCTGAAAGGCTCAAGTAATTCTAGAAATAAACTATGGGAAATGGAAGGGAAATCTATCAATTAAAAGAGACTTAAAAGAGTACAAAGATGTTAAGGTTGATCTCTGGGTGGTAAGAATGTTTTTTTGTTGACCTACATTTTCTGTCTTTATGCAATGCATATAAACTTCCTCTATAATAATAACAGGTTGTTACAAATAATGTAACTTGTTGCCAAAAGCAACAAAAAATGCAGTACATTTTTTTTAAATGGCAAAACCAAATTATTGTGCTAGAGATGTACATTTGGGTAACAGAACTATCAGGGAAAAATCCGGGAAGAAGATTACTGCAGAGGTCAGGATAATGATTTCTTGTGGGGAGAGGAAGGCCAGGGGCCATAGAAGACTTTTGCCCTATGTTGCAAAGGTTTCATTTCTTGGATACTAATTACAAGCATGTCCACCTTACAACAATGTACTAAGCCATATGTGTATAGCATGTAATTTTCTCTATCTGTGTTTTATTTTATAATAAAAAGATGAAGAAATACACACAGACATCCATGCAGTGTTTCTCCTCTCTCTGGCTACTGCTAATTTCCTTATAGTCATTTTTAGAGACTTGACATTTGAAAGGTCCATAGCTAGCCACCTTTACTCATCCTAAAATTTGAAAATACCACTTTGGCATAAAATTTACCCAGTTCCCTTATCTGTAAAATGACAATGGTAATAGTCATTTAACAAGTAGGCTATGAGGCTGTGATAATGAAAATAACTTTTGTATTAAAGGTGAACACCACCACCACGTGGCAAAATAAATGCTGGGCAGCTGGCTAAGTTCATTCACTATTTAAGTGTCTTGAATGAGTTTACTCTTTAAATCTGTGCTTAAGCAAAATTATAATGACTGTTATAACCTTTGGAAGTGCTGACAAATAAATAATAAAAATAAACATACCAACAATCTACATAGACTCCTGAGGCCGCTTTTAAAATACCCTTTTTTCCTTAGTTGCATACTGAATTCAGACTATCAGGGATTCTATTTAGTTTTTTAAAAGGGCTTGGGCCCACCAAAAAAGCAAGGAAGTGGCTGTAACACTAACTCTAAACCTAATGGCAATAAGTAAAAGAAACAGCTCCCATTACAATGGTAGAAGAAATAATGTAAAGGTGTTGATATAGTGGCAAGGAGGTGGAATAAAGAATGAATAAGAGCTGAAAATGATGATATATTCTGATGAGATAAGTGACTGACCTGGGACCCATGTAAACAGGGGATGTTGGGTTGAAGTTCTGGAACTACATATGTAATTATTTTTGTTATATGATATATAACAAAATAAAAGCCAGACAAGATCCATGCCTATGTGTAGATGTGCATTCCTGTATTGTCCTATGATATACGAGAAGGCAAATACAAATTCAACAAGATCTATGCATGTGATATTCAGGTAGAAAGGACAAGGCAGAAAGCAAGAGAAATTACAACCTGGATGAGCAGATGGGAGGAACTGACCATATTAAGATGTGAAGTGGTGAACTAGAAAATGAAAAAGAAATAGGGACTCATGGGAAAGAAAGAAAGAAGAGTGGGAAAAAAACAGTAGGAAAAAATAGAATTTACACCAGAGGACATTTTATACACAAACTTGTGAGGTTATTTTAACATATTTATTTAAAGTAGCTAGAAATGAGCTACGATCTTTGGGACAGATTTGGTCTGCAAACAGAAGTTCAACCTAAGACATGTTTTAGAGAAAGTAACATAATACAGTATATGTATTTAGGCTGATTCAGGCTGTATAATCTTGTAAATGGTAGATATGAAGCCATAATTACAAAAATAATTTATCCATTAATTATTTTATTTTACATAAATATTTTCAAAAGGACAGTTCTTTTTTCAAATACTTATTCCAGTTTATCATCTGTCCTCTGACCTCATGATCTTTTTGCTGCACCAAAGTTTTTTCTTTTTATTTTATACCTCTCTTTTAGGAGTGGGCCTAACTCCTGGGCAGTGTGCCCAGAGTCAGCATAGTTTTTCAAAAATATTAAATTGGCAAATTAAATTTGAGTATGTTCAAAGTGCACAATGTTATGATTTGATATAACTGTGTAATGATTACCACAATCAAATTAATACAACTGTCACCACCCTTGCTGTGCATTAGATACCTAGAACTTGTCTATTTTATAACTGAAAGTTTATACCCTTTGACCAATATCTCCTCATTTCCCCTAGACCTTAAGCCCTGATAACCACCATTCTACCTTCTGCTTCTGTGAGTTTGACTTTTTTAGATTCAAAGGAACAGTTCTTACCAAGTGGTATACATCATCTAAACAGGTAAATTCATTAAAGCTAATGTTTAGTTTTCGAAGTCCTGTTAACTTGGAGAGATCTCTCAATTTACTCAAGCTGTTTCCATGCAGATTCAGACTCTGAAGTAAAATAAAGTACAAAATAAGACAGATTACATTCTACACCATACTGAAATGTGGATATCTAAAATGTTTAGAACAATTACTTGACACAATATACAAAATAAGAAAGCAGTCATTTTAAATAGCATTAAGAAACTGTCAATAAAAAAATCTAATCTACGATGTTAAAAGGTAGTTTGCAATAGTATCACTAGACTTTGGCTCTTGATTAATATGATTTCTCACTTGGTCTAAGTTTATCAGCAATTGCCATGAAATTCTTTCTATAAAATAAATATATGTGGTTAAGGTATTTATTAGGGTAGATCTATTTCTCAGGCTAACCAGTGAACAATGCAGACCTTAAAGATTTGGAGTATCAGATAGGAAACCTCATGGGAGAGAGATGACAGGAAAATGTGTGATGGCACTGTGACTGCAGGAAAATCTATGAGGGTACCGAACTGAAAAAGAAAGGCTGAGGGTGCTAAACTAGGAGGACAGAAGGTGAAAGGAGGAGGTGGGAGATTGCTTAAGACAACACCTATATCAGAATTTGGCCCAGACTTTTCTTGTCCATTTCCTTATAAAAACAAACATTATTATACATTTATGCTTAAGGAGAGATCCTGATGCCTTTTTTTTTTTTTTGTCTTTATGCCACTGTGATTGGTATCAAGTGAAGACTGTATTTATGTATAGCTTGTAAAATAAACAAGGGCACAAGAAAATATATTAATGTAACTGACTACAGTATTCATAACAAATGGGTATTAATTATCATGATAAAATCAAGTATTATCTCCCAGCTACCTTCATTCACCACCACCATCTTACACCTTGTTACATCACATATGTAACAAAATTCCTAGAAGGAAGAAACAATTAAATTTCTAATAGCTGTCAAAATTAGCTAAAATTGCTAAGAGCTAATTTATGCAGACTAGTTATTTTACAAGTCACATATGGTTATCATCCATGATATATTCTACAGAAACCTTACACTTAACATGTCCACAACTGAATTCATCTTCCCTATGTGTCTGATAAAGAGCTTCACTATCTAACATACTGTTGATCACCCTCTTTCCTTCTTTTTCTTATACATTTGATTGTAGGACTGTTTCTCAAACTGGCCATATCATGGTATCACCACTACCAGTGCCTAAGGCAGTGGTAGTGGCGATGTAATGGTGCAGCTGGTTTTCTGGTTATCCAGAAATAAATGAATGGATTTTTCCTTTGGATACTGCAATAGTCTTCTATGGAATTTCCATACCACCAGTCTGACTTCAGTTAATTCCATTTATAAGCTGTCAAAGTTAAGGTATTTAAAGAAAGTTTCTTTCTTAAACAAGAGAATCTAAACTTCTAAATTTGGCTTCCAAAATCCATCCTAATTTGGCTACAACCTCATACTCTTCCAGCCTGGGCTTCACATATCTTTCTTGAATTCCAACCTACATCTTTACCCTCCACCATTGTAACATTATATTCTAGTTATACTCAATTTTTCAGTGTTCCCTGAAAACATCTGGATCTCTCAAAACCATGTTCCTACAGATAAGAATATTTCATCTGTCTGGAAGATGTAAACAACTAAATTTCTCATGTCCTTCAAAAATCCACTCAAACCTCACCTCTTTCTGTAAATCTCTCCCAGTAACTCTGAGCTTCCTACATGTGTTCACATATCTATTTCCTCCACTAAACTGATGTTTTTGAGGCAGGTAAACTAATTTCTTACTAAAATAGTAAATCTTGATATTATAGTGCAGAAATAATAATTTCCCAGTACTGTCAGCCAGAAGATTGCTATTATACTGCATGTTTATGGACACAGGACAGGGCCTCTGTTGCATAGCTCTAGAGGCATCCTACTCCTTCCATCTTGTGTTGAGTTCTATTCAGTTATATGATGAATGGCACCCAAAGTGCACATTAAACAGAATTTAATGTGAATTCTACTTTCTGGAGTTGTGCAATATTGCAATTGTAGAGTACAGAAAGCCTGGTTAGAAGACTGGGATAAAAGTCTAGGTCAGAAACTGTAGTAGTTTGGATAGAGTGGTAGCAGCAGATCTGAAATGAATACATCTAAAAGTCAGATATAGAAGTAGGGCTAGTATCTCAATAGAATTGTCTCAGCATAAAGTAAGTCGCTTTAGTAAGTAACCTGATTTCTGTTGATTAATTTTGTAAAGATAAAGATCCCATATTCTATGTTGATTAATTCTAGAAATTGATTTAAAACTTATCTGCCTTTATCTTAATCATTTAAAGAGAGCTTCTGGTTATTCAGGAATAAAATCCCTTGCTAATTGGAAGGCCACCTCATATGGCTGTTGAGCACTTGAAATGTGGCTAGTCTGAATGTGCTAAGAGTGTTAAAATATACTTCAGAATTAAGAGTTAGCATGAAATTACCTCACTAATGAATATTCATACTAGTTTTTGTTAACATGATAATATTTTAAATATTCAGGGGCTATAGTTTGAATGTGTCCCCCAAATGTTCATGTGTTGGAAACTCAATCCCTCTGCCTTCATTAATGGATTAATGTCACTTTCAGAGGAGTGAGTCTATTAACTTGGGAGTAAATTTGTTATAAAATCAGCTCTCTCTCTTCCTCTTTCTTCCTCTCCTTCATTTTTTTTTATTCTTTTTATTCTTTCTTTCTTCTTTTTTTTCTTTAAAAAAAAAATCAGCTCTCTCTGGCTCTCTTGCTCTTGCCTTCTTGCCATGTGATGCCCACTGCCATTTTATGACACTGCAAGAAGCCCTCATCAGATGCTGGTACCAAGCTCTTGGATGTCCCAGCCTCCAGAACCATGAACTAAATAAACACATTTTCTTTATAAATTGCCCAGTTGGTTGTATTTTGTTATAGAAATAGAAAACAATAGAAATAGAAACAAACAAACAAATATTTCAGTTAAATAAAATGTATTATTAAAACTAATTTTACTTTTTAAAAAAAACTTTTAAAAACATAACCACCACAAAACTAAAAATTACTTATGTAATTCACATTATATTACTACTAGAGAGCACTGATCTAATCCATGTTGAAAAAGAGGAATGGGCACTTCAGGTAGCATAGTACCTGGCATCATCAGATAGACAGTTTAGTATCTTTTGACTTCATATGCTATATTTTGACTCCAAATTCAAGATTCCTATCTCAAAGCTTTATTCCTCACAATACTTACCACAATATGACTGTAAATGCTAGTCTTTGCAAGGGAAAATATTGTTTTGTCATCTAAACTAATCAGTTTTGGTCGGGCCTTGATCCTGGGCTCCATTTTTATTACTTCATCATCAAATTTCAAATCCTTGGAAAATACTGATCCTTCTGATTTTTTTTTGCTTTCCTGTAGAATAACATTGTTGAACACAGAAAATAAAGAGTCCGCCTTGACCTAAAATATGAATTTAAAATATTGCAAAATCAGTAGCTGTATTTATCATTTTGAAAAACAGGCTATGTAGAAAAGATGAGTTGACATTTTTAGTTATACAGTCATATCTGTGATGATCAGAATCACATTAGGACATCTATAAAGCAGATTAAAATTTTAGGCTATGTATGGTATATCCATTTCCACCCACTGAAAATTTCTTAAAAACTGGCAAAAGGTAATTTTAAAATATTTCACAACAGTGAAGAGGGTACCTACAAAGGCGTAGAAATTGTGACACACAAATCAGAAAGGACTGAATTGGCAGGTAAATGGGAGCAGAAATGTAACCTATGGCTAAAAAATATGCAGGAGACAAATACTTTTAAAATCTGATCCAGAGAAACTTGATGATTAGAGTGAATAAAGAGCAATTAGTTATCTTGATTGTCAGGTAATTAAGTAATTATGGTAATAATTGTGAAGGAATGAGCAAGAGTCACATGAACAAACAGAACTTGTTCTAGAAGAAACCAAAATATTTCATTGAGAATTTTTTAAAATCTAGGACAACAAAGTATCTATAATAAAATAAGCTGCTATGGAAAAGAAAAGGACATATATTTCAAAGCTAAAATGAAAACAATTAATAAAATAAAAAATTTAGTACATACTCTGAAAACCAAGTAGATATGGTAGCAGATCAAATTAGCAATGTGGAAGCTAAGATTGAGAAAATATTTCAAAACAAATAATTTTAAAAGAGCGTAAACTAGAAGAGGAAAAATTAAAAGAGACAGAAGATCAATTTGGAATTTCTAATATTTAACTAATGAGGGGATCCAGAAGGCTTAACAGAAATGGAAGAGAAGAAATAACCAAGGAACTAAGAGAAGCAAACTTCCCAGGAGAGAACAAAGAATTGAATCACAACATCGAAAGAGCTCATAAAGTGGCAAACAGGGGGATGATGGAACTAAGGTCTTTTCTGACATCACTGAATGGTTACAACTGCCGGGTACTGCCCACTTCTTGACTTCTTGTTATGTGAGTTAAATAAACTTCTACCTGTTTACTGTTTGGCTGGGTTTCTGTATCTTTTGCTAAAGGCATACTTGACTAATATAATCCTATTCATTATAACAATATAAAATATAAATTCCCAGAACTAAACTTAATAAGAAATGTTGGGAGACCTATACAAGGAAAATTGTAAGAGAGGACCTGAGTAAATGAAGTAGATTACCATGTTCCTAGAACAAGAAGTCCAATACTACAGAGTAGTCAGTTCACACCAAATTAAATTTTAAATTCAATATAATTTCAAACACATTTAAATAGGATTTTAAAATAGAACTTGACAAGCTATCCTAAATTTTATTTGGAAAAAGAAAATGTTTAAGAATAGTCAAAAAAAAGTTTAAAAAGGTAAGTGGTGACAGAGGAAGGGGATTTGTCCTATCAAGACATATGAAGTTTGTAATAACCAAAACAAACATGATAGTGATCCAAAATTAGATGAAAGGGTTCAGTGGAACAGAATAGATTCATATAGACAGATTCCTTATTTATGCAAATAATTCTAACAATAAGGATTCTATTTCAAAATAGAGTAGAAAAGATAATGCCTAAATAAGTATTTATTCAATAAAAAAATTGTTTCACTACCCTTCTACCTCACAATTTCTATAAACAATTTCTATAAAACAATTTCTAAGTGTGTATGACAGTGCGTGTCTCATTACATTTTCCAACATGAGATATTTTCAATCTCTTTTTTGGCCACTATGATGGGCAAAAAACAAGATATTTTACTCTTTCATATGCTTAAAATTATTTATAGTTTTATGAATCACCTGTTATTTGATCATTTTCTATTAGACTCTGTCTTTTTTGTATTAGGAAAATTCTTACATACATTCTGGATATTAGTACTTTATCTTAGGCCAGGCATGGTGGCTCACACCTGTAATCCCAGCACTTTGAGAGTTCAAGGTGAGAGGATTGCTTGAGTCCAGAAGTTTGAGACCACCCTGGGCAACATAGTGAGATCTTGTCTCTAGAAAACATTTTAAAAATTTAAAAAGTTAAAAATCATGTATCTTATATATGTTGCAAATATTTTCTGTCACTTGCCTTTTAATTTTAACAAAACTTGCTTGTCATTTTAATTTGTAATTCACAAGTTAATTATTAAGAGGTCAGCTCTCTCAATCTCCTGTATGGATTCTGAATTTTATGTCTTATTTCAAAAATCCTGTAATAAATATTCTTTATTTTCTTATGATACTTATGTAACTAGTTTTAAAAACTTTAGCCTTTTTAATCCATCTAGAATTGTTTTATAGAAATTGTTTATAGAAAAAAGATAATGTTTAAGAATAGTCAAAAAAAGCTTAAAAAGATGAGTGGTGATGGAGGAAGGGGATTTGCCCTGTCACATGTCAAGACATGAAGTTTGTAATAAGCAAAACAAATGTGATAGTGATCCAAAATAAGATGAAAGAGTTCAGTGAAACAGAATAGATTCATACAGACAGATTCCATAATATGCGGCCACCAAAATAATGAAATATCCCTCTATATGTACTAAAGTGGAAATATGATCAAAAGATATTGTCAAAGGCAAAAAAAAAAATCACAGAATACTTACACCTTGTTTCTACTATGTCAAATGGTATCTGTTATTAGATATGAAGTGCATAGAAAAAGGATTGAAAGCAAACCCATAAAACTGTTAACAGTGGATTCCCTGGTGAAAGGGAATGGCAGTGAGGTTAAAGTAAAGGCAAATTTTCATGTTTAGTCTTCAATGTCTTCAATGTAGTTTCAATGTAGTTTGAATCTTCAAAGTAGACTGAATCTTTTCCAGTGAGAGTACAGCCATATATTAATCATGTGATATATTTGCATTAAACATATTTAGGTGTCATAATGACTTGTTTTGAAAGTTGTTCTTCACAAAATAACAAATATACACACATGCACATAATGGCCTGAGACTAAACTGTATTTTCTTAACTTGACATAGCATTATTAGACTTCAAATTACTATTCTGTTCCCATTTAAGGAATTCCAGTCTTTAAAAATATGTAACAATTCATACCATTGTAATATACTCAAATTCAACAACGTATTCTGGCAAAACAAGGTCATGATCAAAGACAAACCACTTGTACTGCCGAACACTGCAATCACAGTTTCTTTGTCCCATGACAGAATCTAGAGTAAAAACAAAAACAAGCAAAGCAAACACATTTCCTCAAATTGAAACACACTTTTTCATTCTTAATTTAACAGATAACAAACTCAATAAATTGCAACAGTTATATTATTGAGGATTTTTTTCTTTCATCCTTTCTGCTCTAGTCTTTTTTTTTTTTTTTTTTTTTTTTTTTTTTTTTGAGACGGAGTCTCTGTTGCTCAGGCTCTCCCACTTGCTGGTTCAAGTGATTCTCCTATCTCAGCCTCCTGAGTCGCTGGAATTACACGCACTTGCCACCACACCCAGCTAATTTTTGTATTTTTAATAGAGACAGGGTCTCACCATGTTGGCCAAAATGGTCTTGATCTCCTGACTTCATGATCCACCCGCCTTGGCCTCCCAAAGTGTTGGGATTACAGGCATGAGCCACTGTGCCTGGCCCCTTTTAATTACATAAATACTTACTAGTCATCTTTTCACTACATACACTAGTCGTGCTTAATTATATTCATATCCTTTTCCTTTTCATACTTTTTCACTTTTCTATTCAATTTGTGGCCAGGTAATTTTTGATAAATTTATTTCTCTAAAACTCTTATTAAAAGTTGGGTGGTTTTTTAATTATTTGAAAATGAACACACATACACGCACACAAACAAATACATAATTAAATTAAAATTTGCCATATTAACTATCTACCCACACCCATATATAAATATCTTTGAGGTATGGAATAGAAAAATTATTAGTGGCTAGTAACAGATTTTTGTAGAAAAATCTACCAACTTTGTTAAGTAGAAATAAAACTGTGAGTATCTGTATTAAACACATTTTTCATTCAGAGACATGAAACCACATTAATCTTTATGACAGACATACTTAGTAAATATTTTCGAGGAATGAACACTGAATTAACCAATGGATAGTTGGATTGACTGATGGATTTTTTTTCGTGGGCTTGAACACTCTGGCCAAGGAAAACTTTTGTAATGAGGAGGATGCCTAAAAATAATAATAAAAAAAAAACACAAGTAATTCTTAAGAATAATTCACTTTAATAATTTTCCAACATAACCTTCTTTATTGGCCTGAGACTAAACTGTATTTTCTGTAAAGGCAGAGATACTGGCTCTCTTGTTTGCTACTGTATAGCACATAGCACATTGTTTAATCCAAAATTGATGCTCAACAAATATTGTTGAATAAATGAAATGATTATAAAAGAGGAGTTATGTGATTATATCAAGCAAAGCTTTACAGAAGAGGGAAAAAGAACACAATAATTTAGAAAAGTTTTTCCAGTAGTTAAAAATAAGTGTTCATTGTTGTTAACTGGGTAAAAGTTCAGTAGCACCTAGCACATAGCTTAGATAGTGAGATGCACTCAATATATGTCTACGTAATGAATAATTAAGTAATTTTTCCCTTTAAATTTTTCTAGTAATTCTAGTAATAATTTCCCTTTAGATTCTTAAGGATCCTTGGGATTCAGTAAATCCTAAAGTCAAGAATCTAAAAACATAATTTCTAATCATAATACATACAACATTCAAATGAATTTTATTTGTTTGTTTTTACTATATACAAAATATAAAATGTAAACTAGGAAACCTAATTGTTTTGGAAAACATTCCAGAAGGATCTAGCAGAACATCATGAGGTATTTCTTAATATGCAAATGGAAAAGAATGATAAAGAAGAAAAGGTATTTTCAAGTAAGGAGTTACGGAGTTCTTTTTAGACTCAATAACCTGCCTAATTTAAAAACTATTACTAACTAAATAAAAAACTGCAAAACACACATAGTTTAGTTCAGAATGAATCATCTTAGCAGAGCTATAGTCTAGAACCTAGAATGTTCTTCTTATAGAATTAAATTAACCCAATTTCTGACTACCCAATCTTTAGCACAGCGGTCCCCAACCTTTTTGGCACCAGGGACTGGTTTCATGGAAGACAATTTTCCCACAGACTGGGGATGGGAGGTTTTGGGATGATTCAAGTATATTACATTTATGGTGCACATTATTTCTATTATTATTACACTGAAATATATAATGAAATAATTATACAACTCACCATAATGCAGAATCAGTGGGAGCCCTGAGCTTGTTATCCTGCATCTAGACAGTCCCATCCGGGGATGATGGGAAACAGTGACATGTCATCAGGCATTAGGTTCTCATAAGTAGTGTGCAACCCAGATCCCTTGCATGTGCAGTTCACAATAGGGTTCACGCCCCTATAAGAATCTAATGCTGCCACTGATGTGACAGGAGGTGGAGCTCAGGCAGTGATATGAATGATGGGAGTGGCTGTAAATGCAGATGAAGCTTTGCTCACTTAACCCACTGCTCACCTCCTGCTGTGCGCCAGGTCTGTAACAGGCCACAGACTGTAGCCAGTCTGTGACCATGGGTTGGGGACTCCTGCTTTAGTAGCTTGAATAGTTGAGACTAAAGAATAGGTGTTCCTTACTCCCTGACCTATCTATTCTCCATATTATACATTGTTTGGTACTATGCATTAATACTTCATGTTTATAGCTCTTACATGATAATTATGATTTTATATTTATTTATGTGATTATTAATATTTATAAGCACCATAAAGATGAAACTGTCTAGTTTGCATAGACTGTATCCTTTCCAGAGCCTAACACACAATAAGCATTCAATAAATACTTGTGGAACTAAAGAACGTAAAGTGGAAGAGGATGAAGTTAGAAGGACACGATGAGCTAGTCTTTTTCCCTAATCTGTGGGTACCAGGGAATCTCTCCCAGAAGCGTACCATAAATTGGTTCGTGTACTTATATTTCTACATATTCAAGCTGCAAATGAAGTACTGGTAACTATGAATAAATTAAAATATCAAAAGTTTATCTTCCATAAGACAAGTTACAAGGCAATCCATAAAATTTCCAATTTGTCTTTAGGTAATTTTAACTAAAACCTAGGTTTTCTTATCATCTTACATTATGATTATTTAGGACAAATAAGGCCTACCTTCCAGCGTACTTTATATAATTATCACATATATGGGCCAAATTCTTTTCACTTTCCTGTGAATTTGGTGTGTGTGTATGTGTGTGTGTGTAACATATACATACATACATACATATATATATATGTATATGAGTTTTTGTGACACAACATAATGAACAAAGGCAGACTGTGAAAAGTGCCCTTGAAAAGCTGGATTAAATATCTGAGTAACAAATGTTCCTGTTAATGCTGACATGGTAATCACTCAGTAAGTATCTGTTAAAGTGTCACTAAATTAATCATGAGAAAGTCATGTATTACTACATTGGTAAATACGAAATAAAGTGGTTTGAAGAACATCTCCTGGGTTGATAAAACCAAGTATCAGAAATGATATCACAATACTTAATGAATTTGAAGACTTAGAACTTAAAAGTTCAGAAACATGGCATACTTGTATTTACCATGCCTGAAGAGCTCATGCTTAAGAGAGTGTTTCTTCTCGTCTTTGTGCTTTTGCTGTAAAAATTCAATTCTGGGACACTCACTTATACTTAGACTGTTAGAAAGAATGACAGCTTCTTTTCTGAGAGGCAGCTGCAAAGAAAAAACAAAGTCTGAGTATTTTTATAAAATTGACAACACTTCAACTTCAATATAGAGAGTTTATTATTTTATGTTAATGTGTCTGGGCAAAGAAATTTGCAGGCTGGGCTCACCGAAAAGAAGATAATCTTCAGGAGCAACTGCATTTGGCAAAGCCATTTATATATCTTAAATTCATATGCAAATAGGTTAATAAAAAGTGATGCAGAACAAAATTTGTTCCTGGAAAAGCAGCCACAGTCAAGACTGACAATACTATGTGGAGCAGGAGCAACAGCTTTCAATGAGTGCTCCACTAGTAATCTTGCTAACTCCAAAAAGAAAACCTAATGGAATGAGGTATTATATCAGTGAAGATTCTTGTTTCTACTATAACTTTTTGGTCTAATGATCTACATTGTTTTCCAGAAACAAAACACTTTTTATTGTGCTAACCCGTGGAAATCCTAGTTTGTATTGTACCTAACTTTATTCCTTGAAAATTATTATCATTAAAGTTTACATTAACTGCTTGCTGTGAAAGTAGCTCTAAAAAACAAAAATCTCTATTTTTAGATGTTAGTAGTAAGAAAACTAGAGCTAAAAGAGATTATACAATCTGTTCAAGAACAGAACTAGTAATTGGCAAAATTAGATTTGAATTCAGGTCTATTTGTCCTTGTCACAGTCTCAAAGATTTGAAATTACTATTAGTTTAACATTAATAGCCAAATTATTTAGAATTATGTCTTGTCTGTGAATGCCAAATTACTTATATATATTTTTTCTTATTGAAATCTGCAATCCAAAGAAATTGCAAAAAAATAAATACAGTCAGCCCTCCATGTCCACAGCTCCCACATCTGAGGATTCAACCAACCATGGGTTGAAAATATTCAGGAAAAAAACACAATACAAAATAATACAAATAGTATATACAGTATAACAACTATTTAAATAGTATTTACATTGCATCATAAGTAGTCCAGAGGAGTTTTAGAATACACAGGAGAATATGTGTAGGTTATATGCAAATATTGCACCATTTTCTATAATGGACTTGTGTATTCACAGCTTTCGGTCTATTCATGAGTCCTGGAACAATCCCCCACAGATACTGATGTATGACTATACTCCAATAGAGCTTATCCAACCACAAATTCCACATCCCAGTAAGTAACCTTCTCAGACTTTCAATGAACACCACCAAATATACATTTTCTATAACCCATGTGCATGGCATTGTAAGGCTACAGTCTAGTGTTGGTCCTCAATTAATAAAGGTACAGTAGAAACTATATGCAATAATTAAAAAAATACAACGTATTACAAGGTGCATCAAATAAGATATACTTTTTAACTGAAGAGATTAGGAGGGAGTTTATAGAGGTAATGAAATCATGAGTAGGCTTTGAAGATTGTACATAATTCAAATAATCAGAAATTTAAAAGGAAATATTTTAAGAGGAAGAAAACATATGGAGGTATACAAATAGGTGTGATTGCTATCCAAAATAAATGTGTTATAACAAAAATTCTCAGTTGATCACCACTTAACTAACACTTAACCAATTTGCAGGATTAACCAGTATTTTCTTTTGCCTATATAACCCACAGTATGGTGGCAGTTCAGGGATAAAATGAAACTTTTAAAAACACAGATGTACTTCTGTTGTATCCAGTTCTGTTGTATGCTTACCAAGAGTCAGTTAATTTTGTTCCCAAACTTGTTTATGCCAGTTGTAGTTGTTATGAAATTATACATATTACTTAAAGTGATAAAATAGAAGAGGAGTTCTTTCTTTGAACAATTTTGGAAAATTGAGTAAAATTCAATAAAAGATAATCATTAAAAACTTTTGGCAAGGCATGTGTAGACAAAGCAAATGCAAAAGTTTGGGGTGGCAAGGGAGAATCAGAAAACTAGAAGGAGTCTTATGTTTGAATTATTTTGCAAGAATCTTTAACTGAGACAGATGGATTGGATATTTGGGGCATCAGAAGTGACCAATGATAAAGCAAGATCAGCAGCAAGATGGGGATAGTGAAGTAGAGAAAAAAGAAATGGTAGCAGTAAAAGGAAAGTGAAAACAGGACAATAGCTAGAAAGTACAGTGGAGTTAAATGATTGAATTGTTTCAAGATAGAGAAGACTCTGGAGAGTTTACAGCAGATTAAAGATTTATAGCCAATTTAAAAAGCAGATTTCAAATCCATCAACAAAAGGCTCACAACATAAAAATAAGATGCCTAGAAGGATTAAGTAGGGTGAGGCAGTAGTAATTAATGGACTTACTCTGGTATAATCCAAAGAGGAAAGATGCTGTAATTTCCATGATAACACTAAGCTTTTTGTGAAACAGCAGTAGAAGTTTACTGTAAATATGGATAAAAGGATTGGGAATCATGCTTAACCAGTGGCAGAGCTCCACTTATTAGGAAGAAAGCATTATTCTAAGTAACATTTTATGTTACCTTGCTTGTTTCACTTTCTTTGAATCCTTTTTCAAGTATTTGTAGCAGATTCTCTTTCTTCACTGTAACTTCAGGATCAAAAACATAAAAAAGGCATTCCAGCATTCTTCGGTGGCTCCTTGAGAATAATTGAAACAGAAAAAGTTTGAGGATTGATTACATAAAAGCTTAGCTATAGACAAGATAACCATATGTCCCGTCAGGGATATTTCTCATTTACACGCAATGTTTTCGTATCATTATTAATAGCTCCCCTGCCTTCAACCACAAAAAGAGGTTCAATGTGGATAAATTATGGGGTCATCCTAGCCATGGGAGATGCATAAAAAGGAAACATTTACTAACACAGTATATGTATATTTTTAATCATGTAAACTTTTAAAATAGAAATTGTACAAATAAAGTCAAACTTTTGTAAAGTTGTTCCTTAACAAGCATATGAAAAAAAGCTCATCATCACTGGTCATTAGAGAAATGCAAATCAAAGCCATCCATCCCCCTGTTATGTACATTGAGATACCATCTCACACCAGTTAGAATGGCAATCATTAAAAAATCAGGACATAACAGATGCTGGAGAGGATGCAGAGAAATAGCAATGCTTTTACACTGTTGGTGGGAGTGTAAATTAGTTCAACCATTGTGGAAGACAGTGTGGCGATTCCTCAAGAATATAGAAATAGAAATTTCATTTGACCCAGCAATTCCATTACTGGGTATATACCCGAAGGATTATAAAACATTCAATTATAAAGAAACCTGCACACATATGTTTATTGCAGCATTGTTTACAATAGGAAAGACTTGGAACCAATCCAAATGGCCATCGATGATAGGCTGGACAAGGAAAATGTGGCACATATACACCATGGAATACTATGCAGCCATAAAAAAGATGAGTTCACGTCCTTTGCAGGGACATGGATGAATCTGGAAACCATCATTCTCAGCAAACTGACACAAGAACAGAAAATCAAACACTGCATGTTCTCACTCATAAGTAGGTGTTGAACAAGGAGAACACATGGCCACAGGGAGGGGAACATCACACAACAGGGCCTGTCAGGGTATGGGGGGACTAGGGGAGGTATCGCAGGGGAGGTGAGGGGATTGGGGAGGGATAATATTAGGAGAGATATCTAATGTAGATACCAGGGGGATGGATGCAGCAAACCACCATGGCACGTGTATACCTATGTAACAAACCTGCACATTCTGCACATGTACCCCAGAACTTAAAGTATATACGTAAAAAAAAGGATTAAAGATCACACAGAGATGTGTGGAAGGCAGGAAAAAAAAAGAATTCAACTTCTTACTCTGAATCATGCATATCTTCATTCTCCAAAAACTTTTGAAATTTCTCTTCAAATTTTAGTCTCAGAATGCGGTTGTTAACTTTAATGACACGTTTTACTTTTACTCCTGTAATACCATATGTTCTGAAGTCCCAGGCACAAAAACGTGATAGAATTAATTCATAGCAGAAATTAAACCTATGTGGGAATACGCACAGAATATACATGAAGAAAGTAACAGATTTTCCTTAAAATGTTTAAGAACACAAAATTACAAATGATAAAAGTTATAGTTCATTTTGTGTTTTTCACTAATAATGCGGTAATCATATGTATGGCTCTGTTTATTTATTCATTAATTGCATATTTGTTTGGTCTGAAAGACATGTTGGTTGAGCAATCCTCACATTCTGAAACACTTTCTTTCTTAGCTTCAGGGAAAGTACATATGCCTTCCTCTTTTTGGCTGCTCTTTCACAGTTTTCATTGCTGGGTCTTCTCAAATAGACTTTTAGATATTGAGCTGCCCAGGGATCAGCCTTTGGGCATCCCCTTATTTCCATGAACACTCTCCCTAGATAATTTCATCTGGTTCCTTGGCTTTATATATATGCTGATAAATTACAACATTTTATTTCTAGTCTTGATCTCTACCCAACTTAGCTGGTTATACTCAGACTTCAATATCCAACTACCTACTTGGTATGTCCATCTGCATATTAAATAGGTGAATCTAACCTAACATAACTAACACTTCATCCCAAACCTGCTCCTCTGAGTATTTTCCATCTCAGTATATGGCACCACCATTTAACTGGTAGCTTGTCAAAACCATAGGAATAATCATCTCCTCTCTTCCTTACCAGTATCTAATTCTTTAGCAAGTCCGTCTGGCTCTACATCTAAAATGTGTCCTGAATATGATCATGTTTCATCATCACCACTGTTACCATCCTAATCCAAATCACCATGATCTCTTATTGGACTACTGAAATAACTTCCTGACTAGGAATACTGATGTGAAAGAGGCAATGTCTGCTCTAATGAAGCCTAAACAAGTAAAGCTAGAAATAGAATTTCTAAACTGATAAAAGCTTTAAAAAGAAACTTGGGGTAAGGAATACAAAGGGTACCTACTTAAGATAGGGTGTTGGGGAAGGCCTTTCAGAAACATTAAGATATTTGATCTGAAAATTGGAGGAAGAGGAACAGGGGCCAGCTGTGTGAAGGTAAGAACGCTGAAGTGCTTGTTTGCTCTCTGCTGCCCTCACCTGGCCATACTCATAAAATTCCGGTCCTGTCTAGCACAGAACCTAGATTGAGATTGAAAAATGGATCATTTTGAGAAGGAAGTAAATGATCTTATAAGGAATACATTTGCTTTTAATGACAGATCTAGATCCCTACCTACATAATCAACCAGGATGTGAAATGGGTGTGAGCTACAATCATAGAGGTGAGCTTCCTGATGGGTAGTCTCTCTTTGAGCCTAACAGCTGAGCTCATAACTTAGGGCATCTGTATTTCTCACAAGCAAATACTTAATCTATGCAGCCAGGATCTTATAAATTATCTCTCCCTTAGAGTTGGAAAGAGGGCTGTCTAAACCAAACTAATTCCAGAGGAGCTCACAGTCTGGTAGAGGAGACAGATATGAATAGTGTTGCAATCAATTGTGATGCCTGCTAACCAGTTCAGAGGACCTATAAAACAGTCACAATATCATCTGAGGTGGGGAAGCCACTGCCTCTCCTGTAGAGGGATCATTTGCTGGGCCTAAATCTGTCAAGTTTCCCCTAAATAACATGTCCTGGAAGCTTTCTGCACTCCGATAGAAACTAGGGCTATAGGCATTTTAGATAAAGATTTCACTATATAGTGGATATTGGGCTTGAGGCTTCTCAAGAATGCGTGCAAGGAATGAACAGACAATACCTAGTTACTAGGCTGGTCCCCCAGGAATGCAGGAGCTATGAAGTGTGATTTTTTTCATGGTGCTTTTATTTGGCCCAGGAATTCAGCAGCTGAGCAATGATGAAGTAAGGGTGAGGTATAAGAAAGCATTCTGGGTGAAGGAAGGAGAACAAACAAAACCACTTATGTGGTGGAGTGTTGCGTTTGCTTCAGAAACAGTGAGGTACACAGTTAAGCTGACTTTAAAAGATTTGAACAAAAGTTATGATGGTCTAAAACCATGTAGTGGGGATCACTGATCCTCTCCATAGGTGCAGAGTCTGCCAATAAAACAAAACAAAAGCCTTTGCAGCTATTTGTTACCTTCCAAATTATATTCAGACTCTTCACCTACAGTAGAGGATTCAATGTTCTCCACTGTATGGTCTCTAAACTAATCAAAATTCCTGTTCAAATCCTTTAGAGTCAGCTGAACTGTGTACCTTATCTTCATTCATTTAGCGGGACTTGACTGTATAAACATTCACAATGATATATATCAATGACTAACATATTCAGTTACACAGAAAGATGCCTACAAATTTTGTTAATATACAATAAATGGTCTCATTTAGCAAATGCAGAGTACATAGTTTTTAAATGATTGATGTTTAATATAATCTATTAAAACATGCCTTATAATCCTAGACAAAAGTTTAATAAATACTTTACAGGCTTACCAACTTAAATCAACATCATAACAGCTTCAAAACCCTATAAAACAAAAAGTTTCTGCTTCTATAGCTCCTTGAGATAGTGCAGCATGAAATCTTTATAAAGAGTAAGATTAATAACTGAAAATCATTATATACACCAAAGTAAAACTGTTGAGTATCTATAAAGTGATATGGAAGCTTCAATTAGTAAATATATACTTGGCTATTAATCTAGCCTCATGCTAGATGTTACAACTTAAAAGACACACAAAACATCATATCTGCCCCAAAGGAATGTACAGAATCACTTATATATTGTTTTCTGGTGTTTTAAAATTTTGTTTTTAGTTGTAAATACACTGTATCTATAACCAGGATGACAGCTTCTCAGGCACAAGGACAGCATCTTTTATGCTTTGGAGCCCCTATTGATAAATGTTTTCCGATGTCAATGGGTAACTCAATTGGCAACACATCTGTAAATAATATGATTCTATAATAATAAAGGTATAGTAGCAACAATCCACTAAACTAGCAAGTCTCTATAAAATAAGATTTTTGAAAACTGGAAAATATAATAATTATATTTCATAAAAGAAATAAAGCTCAGAAATAATGATATACACTTAGAAACATGCAGTGTTTTGTTGTTGTTAAAGACATAAAGGTAATTTTAACAGAAAATCTTTCAGTCCTGGTTCTACTCAAACACTTTTTATTCAACTACTGAATCCTTAGCCTTAAAAGTATTAATAAAAGAGAAGTCAATGCTTAAATAAACAACTAGAAATGTGGCATAGCAATTTAAAGCACTTAGTTATTTCTTAACATACATAAAAGATCAGAGGAAAAGTAACCAAACTTGTAGTATGCTAAAAGTAAAAAAACAGTATTTTAAATTCTGCTAACATATATTTGATTTATTCCTTAAAACAAGTTAAGGTTGCTCTTATTAAAACCAAGTAAATAGGTTAATACTAATCAAAATCCATCAAACCTACCTAATTTACTATCAGGCTCACAGTTATCTAAATGGTTTTTAGTCATTTTGATTTTACTTTTTTTTCACTAATCTACTTGTTGCAAAGAGCTTCCTTTACAATAAGTAAAAAGAAACAGAAATAATTTTTTAAAATCCTGTTTAGGGCTGGGCACAGTGGCTTATTCCTGTAATCCCAACACCTTGAAAGGCTGAGGCGGGCAGATCACTTGAGGCCAGGAATTTGATACCAGTCTGGCCAACATGGCAAAACCCCATCTCCACTAAAAATACAAAAATTATCCGGTTGTAGAGGTATGCACCTATAATCTCAGCTACTCGAGAGTCTAAGGCAGGAGAATCGCTTGAACCTGGGAGGCAGAGGTCGCAGTGAGCCTAGATTGTGCCACTGCATTCCAGTCTGGGCAACAGAGCGAGACTCTATCTCAAAAAAAAAAAAAAAAAAAAAAAGAAATCCTGTTTAGTTTGAGTGAATATAAATGTGCACCCTGTAGAGAGACACCATTGAGTTTTTGCACTTGAAAAATCAAGGTCTTTACTTGTTCACATGGGAGCTGGGATGAACACCTTTTATATCTTTGTACGTAAAAATCAAACAATGTGGTTAAGCAAACAGCAGTAACTGCTGTGAAAATGGATGTACTAATACAAAGGAAAGCATTTTAAAAGGGCTTTTTTCCCTAGCAAAGAGCTTCTTACGCTTTTCCATCAGAGTCTTCCCAAGCCCCTTGAGAAGCTTTTCCTTACAGAGGTGAGAAAAAAGACATGTCTAATAGAAATCAGGGGGCTTGGTTTAAAGTAGCCCATAACAATAACAATTTTTTTTTCCCTAAAAAGTTAGTATAAATTTTACATTCTACGCTATAAAATTAGTATTTATGTTGACATTTACTTCAAGTAAAATCATGCTCCAGGGTTATGTGCCAAGTCCATTCTACAGTTTGACATGTCTCCTGGTATATTTCCATGTATCCAGTTCCTACTATGGCTTTAGAGCAATTTTTGTCTGTTTCACAGGCTCTTCAATTTTGAAAAAGTGATTTAGAAATGTGAAAGTCATAATTAACACTATTTTTCTTCAAGGCTTTCTTTTTTTTTTTTAAGGGTAATTTTTAACTGTGCCCCTCTAACTGAGGCAACACAACTACTTCCTAGTTTCTACTAGTAGGCCTTGGTTCTAAAGCCTAGCTGTCTGCTTTCTGGTTGATCCTGGAGTCTCTCCATTTTTGTTGATACAGGCTTTTGACATGAATTCCTGGTTTAAGCATATACTTATCCTAACACGTAGTGTTCATATGCACCCTGACTGTGGCTATCTCTAAACAGTGGGTTCCATTCTGACCACTGTTCTATTCTGACCTACAGAAGATTTACTAGACAGTCTCCTCCCATGTTGGCAATCTGCTGTCACCAATCCTGCTTTGACACTCCTGCTCTGTTCCATTTTCTCAACTAATATGCAGAATAGTGCAATATATCCAGTCCAGAAAGGAACAGTATAAACGTATATAAAAATTAAGACTTGATTACAAACTATTTTTTTCTAAATTATATTCTGCTCTTGGGCTAAGAAAAATTGGGTAAAAAGCAGTGAAAAACGATTAGGATGTCTTCATGGTTGGCTCATGGCAATGGCATAAACAAATGTATAGGTAGAAAGTAGGTAATTTTAAATTTTCATAGATGCCTGCCAATTTTTAATAGATGAATATTCTGCATGAGAAATGTTTCAAAATGGGACATTTTAAGATTTTATAAGGTTATATTCTGGTTGATGATCCTAAATACATAAATTACTTTTAAAGCTATACGAAATTTCTAATGGATTTACCAGTCATCGGATTGAGTGCCTTCTTCAAAATGGAAATTTCCCACAGTCTCTAACTCAATTAACAAAAATGGGATCAATAAGCCATGACTTTTCTTCTTTTGTTTTACTTCAATATGATAAACGGCTTCAATTCTATTGAAGAGAAAAATACATACAGTTATTAGAATGAACTACAGATCACAACATTAAAATTTATGATAGATTTTTTTTAACTGATGTTAAAACACAAGGCTTCCTTTCGATGGATAAAGAAAGCTTGGTGTTAACAGTTAAACCTTGTAAAAGACATTCTATTTTTGGCAATTAAAATAACTTTTAAATTTGCTACTCTCAGAATGTGTGAAGACTAGAATACTATCCTTGCTCTACTGCTTACGGCTTTCAGATCTCAGACATATCACTTGGCCTTTTTATGTCTCAGTTTTCTCAGTAAAATAGCAATATTCATAGTCCTTACTTCTAAAAAAAAATGGTTGCTTTGAGAGTTATATGCAAATTACATGTAAAGATTTTAGCAAAGAGTGTGGCACAAAGTAAAAACCCAATACATGTTACTAATATTACTGTTAGTGTTATCACAGGGCCCACTAACTTATCCACTTAGTGCCTTAGTAAATTAAAAAATTCACAGTCCTTGCTAAGCCTTCTTGCTTTACATTTCTAATTGAAAACTGAGACTGAACTTGCTTCTATTGTGTATGGGATTTTCCAGGTCTCATCTATTTGGTGAATTTATGCACCAGCAGCAGCTCTGTTGCTTTTACTTTGCAGACACTAAAGCAGTGATATGACAGTAAGCCACTTGGAGGTAGCTTACTGTTCCTAATTAAGAACTGCTTCTGCAAAAAACTGTATGCCAGATTTTAACCTGTATTTCTTATATATACTAGGAACTAGTACTAAGAACATATTTCATGCCTTACTTCATACTATAATTCTTTACACTCCTGAAGAAGGGAACTAGTGTCAACTGATGGCCCAAAACATTCTGATTCTGTCAGTTTCAAATCTGAACAGCTAGACAATTCGTTAAACATACTCATCTAGTTTTTTGTTCCAGAATGTTACCCTTTCATTCAAGGCATTTAGTTTGGTCAATATCTTCTGCTGAAGACTTGGTTCTCCAGTGACAGTTTCACTACTCTTCGATGTTTCAGGATCATTTACTTTACTGTTATTGGATCCATCACCGTGCCCTTTGCCCAAGCCCTTGAGTTCAGCTAGTTCTCGTTCCAACTGTGGAAAACAATGTGTCAGAGAGCAAAATAAAAATAAAACATGGTCGAGGAAAAGTTGAAATTCAGATATTAATTTTTAATGGGATCTATTAAACAAATATCTAATTTAAATAAACAAAGTAGAAATCCAGGTAATAAATAGGCCAAACTTCATAAAACCATGCCAAACATGTGATTTCAACTTGGGTGCAAATTCAGTCAGCCAGTTTCTCTTAACCAAGTGCTGACCTTAACCACTTCAAACATGGTAGTCTCTCAATTGAAAATAAGCAAAGCAACAGTTTTTCAAATATTTTTAATGAGTTTGCTTCTATTAAAGCCAACATAAAATTAAAATAAATGCTGGCTTTAGTATAAATATTTAAAATTCAAATAATGTAATTTTTAACACACTTACTTTTCAATTTTTCATTGTTCTTCTCAGAACCACACTGCAAGTATTCTAAAATCAACTGCATAATTATAAGTAAAACACTCCTCAGCAAATTGCAAATGAACGGAAATCGTAACAAATAGTCTCTCAGGATAAGACCACAGTGCAATCAAATTAGAACTTAGGATTAAGTAACTCACTCAAACTGCAGAACTACATGGAAATCTAACAACTTGCTGCTGAATGACTACTGGGTAAATAACGAAATTAAGACAGAAATAAGGAAGTTCTTTGAAACCAATGAGAACAAAGAGACAACATACCAGAATCTCTGGGACACAGCTACAGCAGTGTTAAGAGGGAAATTTATAGAACTAAATGCCCACAACAGAAAGCTGGAAATATCTGAAATCGACACCCTAACATCACAATTAACAGAACTAGAGAAGCAAGAGGAAACAAATTCAAAAGCAATCAAAAGACAGGAAATAACTAAGATCAGAGCAGAACTGAAGGAGATAGAGACATGAAAAACCCTTCAAAGAATCAATAAATCCAAGAGCTGATTTTTTGAAAAGATTAACAAAATAGACCACTAGCTAGACTAATAAAGAAGAAAAAAGAATCAAATAAACACAATAAAAAATGACAAAGAGGATATCACCACTGACCCAAAGAAATACAAACTACCATCAGAGATTACTACAAATGTCTTTACACAAAGAAACTAGAAAATCTAGAAGAAATGTATAAATTCCTGGACACAAACACCCTCCCAAACCTAAACCAGCAAGAAGTTGAATCCCTGAATAGACCAGTAACAAGTTCTGAAATTTAGGTAGTAATTAACAGCCTACCAACCAAAAAAAAAGCCCAGGACCAGACGGGTTGACAGCCGAATTCTTTCAGAGGTACAAAGACGAGCTAGTACCATTCCTTCTGAAACTATTCCAAACAATGGAAAAAGAGAGGGACTCCTCCCTAACTCATTTTATGAGGCCAGCATCATTCTGATACCAAATCCTGGCACAGATGAAATAAAAAAAGAAAATTTCAGGCCAATATCCCTGGTGAACATTGACGTCAAAATCCTCAATAAAATACTGGCAAACCGAATCCAGTAGCACATCAAAAACCTTATCTACCACGATCAAGTCAGCTTCCTCCCTGGGATGCAAGGCTGATTCAACATACAGAAGTCAATAAACATAATCCATCACATAAACAGAACCACTGAATAAAACCATGATTATCTCAATAAATGAAGGCCTTCAATAAAATTCAATGCCCATTCATGTTAAAAAAAACTCTCAATAAACTAGGTATTGCTGAAACATATCTCAAAATAATAAGAGCTATTTATGACAAACCCATAGCCAATATCATACTGAATGGGCAAAAGCTGGAAGCATTCTCTTTGAAAACTGGCATAAGACAAGGATGCCCTCTCTCACCACTTCTATTCAACATAGTATTGGAAGTTCTGTCCAGGGCAATCGGGCAAGAGAAAAAAAAAATAAAAGTATTCAGATAGGAAGTGAGGAGGTCAAATTGTCTCTGTTTGCAGACAACATGATTGTATATTTAGAAAATCTCATCATCTCAGCCAAAAACTCCTTAAGCTGATAAGCAACTTCAGCAGTCTCAGGATACAAAATCAATGTGCAAAAATCACAAGCATTTCTATACACCAAATCAGCAGAGAGCCAAATCAGCAGAAAGCCAAATCATGAGTGAACTCAAATTCACAATTGCTACAAAGAGAATAAAATACCTAAGAATACAACTTATAAGGGACATGAAGGACCTCTTCAAGGAGAACTACTGCTCAAGGAAATGAGAGAGGACACAAACAAATGGAAAAACATTCCATGCTCATGGATAGGAAGAATCTATATCCTGAAAATGGTCATACTCCCCAAAGTAATTTATAGATTCAATGCTATTCCCATCAGGCTACCAGTGACTTTCTTTGCAGAATTAGAAAAAGCTAATTTAAATTTCATATGGAATGAAAAAATAGCCAAGACAATCCTAAGAAAGAAGAACAAAGCTGGAGGCATCACACTACCTGACTTAAAATAATACTACAAGCCTACAGTAATCAAAACAGCATGGTACTGGTACCAAAACATATATATAGACCAATGGAACCAAATAGAGACCTCAGAAATAACACCACATATTTACAACAATATGATCTTTGATAAAGCTGACAAAAATAAGCAATGGGGAATGGATTCCTTATTTGATAAATGGTGCTAGGAAAACTGGCCAACCATATGCAGAAAACAGAAACTGGACCCCTTCCTAACATCTTATACAAAACTTAACTCAAGATGGATTAAAGACTTAAATGTAAAACCCAAAACCATAAAAAACCCTAGAAGAAAACCTAGGCAATGTCATTCAGAACACAGGCATGGGCAAAGCCTTCATGAATAAAACACCAAAAGCAATTGCAACAAAAGCCAAAATTGACAAATAGGATCTAATCAGACTAAAGAGCTTCTGCACAGCAAAAGAAACTATAATCAGAGTAAACAGGCCATCTACAGAATGGGAAAAACATTTTGCAAGCTATCTATCTGACAAAGGTCTAACATCCAGAATCTACGAATAAGTTTAAAAAAATTTACAAGAAAAAACCAACCCTATCAAAAAGTGGGCAAAGGATATATACTTCTCAAAAGAAGACATTTATGCCGCCAACAAACATATGAAAAAATGCTCATCATCACTGGTCATTACAGAAATGCAAATCAAAACCACGATGAAATACCATCTCATGCCAGTTACAATGGTGATTATTAAAAAGTCAGGAAACAACAGATGCTGGCAGGGATGTGGAGAAACAGGAACGCTTTTATACTGTTGGTTGGAGTGTAAATTAGTTCAATCACTGTGGAAGACAATGTGGTGATTTCTCAAGGATTTAGAACCAGAAATACCACTTGACCCAGCAATCCCATTACTGGGTAGATACCTAAAGGATTATAAATCATTCTACTGATAAAGACATATGCACACATATGTTTATTGCAGCACTGTTTACAATAGCAAAGCCTTGGAACCAACCCAAATGCCCACCAATGATAGACTGGATAAAGAATATGTGGCATATATACACCATGGAATACTATGCAGGAATAAAAAAGAATGAGATTATGTCCTTTGCAGGGACATCAATGAAGATGGAAGTCATCATTCTCAAAAACTAACACAGGAACAGAAAACCAAACACCACATGTTCTCATTCACAAGTGGGAGTTGAACAATGAGAACACATGGACACAGGAAGGGGAGCATCACACACTGGGGCCTGTCAGGGGACTGGGGGGAAGTGGAGGGAGAGCATTAGGACAAATACCTAATGTATGCAGGCCTTAAAACCTAGATGACGGGTTGATAGGTGCAGCAAACCATCACGGCACATGTATACCTGTGTAACAAACCTGCCCGTTTTGCACATGTATCCCAGAACTTAAAGTAAAATAAAAACAACAATGACAACAAAAAAGATAAATTGTACTGCATAAAGAAAAGTGTATATAAGTGGAAATATACTAGTTATGTGTACTCTTCTATAATAGACCTAGTCAGCTGTTAGAAAACAGATTAAGCATATTTATTAAAATGCCTATAGTTGTATATATCTATAGCCATTATTTTTCTCATTTGCAGATTTTACATAATACATGCAATTGCACATGAAAATATCAGACATGTTATTCATATACTGATCTGTGATTTTTATTCAAATAATCTATTTTTAATTATGAATTTTAAATTTTATTAATGTTTTAAGAATATTTTTCTGATTATAAGTCCTGTTCATTTCAAAAAAGCATTAAATATATTTCAAAACCTTGGTTTTTAATATTAATAGCTACAAACTGGTCTACCTTGAGTGTATAACTCTTCTCCTATTATTTAGTTTCCAATGTTTTTATTATTAATAGTGCAGTGATACATATTTAAACATTTTTATATATATCCTTATACATATATATTTACAATAGAGTGCTAGAAGTAGATTTACTGTGTCAAAAACTCAACATTTTGGCCGGGCGCGGTGGATCCCAGCCTTTAATCCCAGCACTTTGGGAGGCCGAGGCGGGTGGATCACGAGGTCAAGAGATCGAGACCATCCTGGTCAACATGGTGAAACCCCGTCTCTACTAAAAAT